ATGGCATTTGCAAGAATCTACCGGGCCTGAACAAGAACAACCAATCAGAGCTGACAATCAACTCAACCACCAACCCAAAGCGTGTTTCTATCTTTCTTGGCTCTGATTGGTTGTTTTTGGTCAGGTCTAGTGGATTTAGCCACTTCCACAAACTCCAGACCTAAACCAGTGCCTTGGTCAAGAGCCTTATGATGCAATTTTTTTGCCACAGATCAAGCGTACCGGTAAAACAAGCAGCATTGGTGGGAAAGGTGCCAGGTTCAGGGTGTAACATAGGATGTACAAATTAAGGAAATGTTTAAAAAAACATATTTGTTGTGTAATGGCAACACAAAAATCACTGTAGGCCTACAATAAGAACAAATGAAAATAACTGTTATTCATTCACATAATTTTTTGTCAAAGCTACAGGGACCGACTGAAGAGGGGCTGAAGAGTTGCTCTGGAGCTACAGGTTGCCTACCCCTGTCATAGCAGTATTTTGTATTTTATTTTTAAACATGTGATGAGCAAGTATTTGTAATATGTAACAAGATACTTTTTGATGTATTTGTGCCCATCTCTGGTGCAGGTGCATCTGGCTGCAACTTTGTTGTTGTCTGTCTGTCTTGGACCTTTTAGTTTTTACTCTTTCTTTGCTCTGCAGGACTACACTGTAAATGGACTGGATGACACCTTTCTAGTCTTCCAACCACTCAAAGCCCTTTACCTTACATGACACATTCACCCATTCATGCACATTCATACACTGATGGCAGAGGCTGCCATGCTGGCTCATCAGAAACTAAACCATTCACAAACTGGTCTGCCAATATGGGGTTTAGTATATTGCCCAAGTACATGCAGCAGGAGCCAGGTATTGAACCTTCAACCTTCCGATTAGTGGATGACCCACTCTACCTCCGGAGCCACAGCTGCAAAGCTTCACATTTTTGTGTTAAATGATATGGAATACTGGAATTCCTATTTATTCATTCAAATGTACCATTTCATGACATTCTGTTGAGATATATGAGTGAGTCCAGTCACTATGTGCTTGTGATGCATGGTGAGCCTGCAGTCAGAGACTCAGCAGACTGGTTGATCAGGTTTAACCAGCAGAGACAGTATGCTGCCATGATTCCTATCTGCTCACACTCTGCATGTGACTTAAACACTTAATGACAGATGGATTGTAAAGGTAGAGAAAATAAACAATAAACATAGTAAAGCTTTGAATAGTTTCCATGCTATTACTGTAACCCTCCAAGGTTCAGTAACATTATACACTTGCACAGTTTACACAAGCAAAGCAGGCAACCATACATTGCAACTTTCAGCCAGTAATACAGAAATGAATAAAAACGCAAATTAATAAAGTCTACAATGTCTTTACCCAGTTTTGTTGGTGCCATGTTGCTCTGAGATCTTCTTCCCCTGAAGATATGTCAGGCTCTCTCCTGACCTGTGTCCTAAGTGAGGCTACAGCACCCTGTGAGTTATGAATGCTTGAAAAGTGCTTTGTTTTCCCTGTTTATATGACACCAGGCCAAACAGGACACGCCCACTACTGTTTTTTCTCTTATGTATACTCTTTCCAGTTCATCCAGCCCTAATCTCCAGCATCTCTGCACTAGGCTGGTGTTCAGGTCCACATGTGAGACAGCATTCCAAAAGAGTAATTGTTCCACTTATGTCCTGAAGTTGAATCTTTGAAGTTGAATCGTTAGAGCAGGTAGCCCCCAAATCAGGATATTTGAACTCACAAACATTACATTATTGTGGCTCATTAGTAAAGCTTACAAAAATATATAAAAATGTTATACATTGTTTTGTTTGCAAATTGGCTCAGCCATGCCCCCTAAACTCAGCCCCAAGACACGTTTGACTGATATGTATGAAAATTGATACACGCATGTATCATGATGAGACAAAAAAGTCTCTTGCATCCATACCCCAAACCCAAGTGGAGTTGTGCTATTTGTGATGTTGAATGGCGTGTCTGTGGCGTGGTGTCAAATTCCAGCATTTCACCATGAAACAGGAAGTTTTCATAACGTCATTGTACTTTGTCCAATCTCCAACAAACTTTACATGTCTGATAAGAGTCCCGCCATGAGTCCCGCCCTGAACACATGCCACTATCCAGTCATGCGGGCCACCTATTGAAAGCAGGAAGTAAGTCTTGTATTGCATCATAATCTGTACCTTCAACAGTATATTCCAAATATAAAGAAGAATTTCCAAGAATTTACATTTCTTCAGACCTGTAAAGACATTATTTTACAGTTACAGGGCTGAACTCAAAGCTTTAGTGGGAGAACTACATTCTGAAGAATCCATTTTAAAAAGGACACTGCTAAATAAAGAGTGATGTTTTGCATGCATACAAAACTTTGATATATTGGTAGAAGTAAATTCTAAATTCATGAAAAGGTGACAACTTCATTAACAGCCCACATGAGTGAACGCATCATTAATTGCCTTCATTATTGTTATTGTATTGGCCAGTGCGACTCCATAACATCCTGCAGATCCCAGAGCAGCTGTCAGGAGTCCACCAGCTCCCAACACTGTTGCTCCCATCATCACCACACCAAGAATGGCAAAACTCAGAGCAACATCCATTAACATACATACCCTGGTCTCCATACTGTTAATCAGCTCATGGGCAAAGGGCAAAGTCAAAGGTATGATGAGATTATTGAATGAGAGTAAATCATTGTCAACAGCCTGCAACAATATAAGAATCAGCACAGCGCCAGACCAAAGCTGCCCTCGTGCTGACATGACAACAAGCCCCAGAGAGATCCCAGAGGCTGCAGCGAGGCCTGAAATCAGTCCTAATTCTCCTCCTGTGCCGAGACACCACTCAGCGAGACTGTGAAGGTTGAAGTGTGGGGTGTCTACATCTAGATAGTATAGGATCACACCTGCAGGGACAGAAATCCACAAAGACAGTGCTCGGTCTGTGTCCCAGAGGCTAGCTGACATCACACCTATAAGAGCACCAATCAGTCCAGTCAGCATCTCCACCGTATAGACCGCGGATCGAATGGTGTAAAAGGTATTGTAGTATAGTGGCACTTCTTTAGAGTAATTTTCAATCCCTAGTCCGAGCAGGAGTCCAGTCAGCGGTACCAGCAGCACAAAGCTGAGTGTTGTGTATGCAATGGGCTTCTTGAAGGCCAGCATATCAGCCAGAAAGCCCATCAGAAATGCTGATGGGAGTACAAAGATCATGGCAAGATATAATCTTGGTTTATTAATATCAATGTTTTGACCTGACCAGACTCCGAGGAGCAAAGTAACAAAGGCCACAGTGGAGAAGGTGAGCATTCTTGCTGGAGTCGCCATTGTTTGCTGTTGTTTCTTATTCATGAGGAGTAAGTTGAGGCTCAGGATAAAGCCCATCAGACAGAGACCTTTCAGTCCCAGGGCCATCAGTGTGGTGGCGACCAATCCAAGGAGTGCTCCTGAAAGTCCACATCCCAGAAATATTGCCAGCCCTGCGCAGCCAGTCTCCAAGAAAGGTACAGTTCCCTTCCTCATCATTATAGCGGCACCGTATCCCATCACAATCCCACAGGCTACAGACAGGAAGGCCAGGCAGAGTCCAAGACACCCTAAGAGAGACGAAAATCCATCCAGACCAGCTACTTGGACAAGACGGTGAGCTTTAGGATACCTTGTCACAGCTGTCACCTGCACTGCTCTCTCTGCTGCCAGGTTTAGTGCAAAGCTTGCAGTAGTCACTTTTGCCACGCCCAGTATTACCTCTGTGGGACAGAAAGAAACAATTTTTACATTTCAGTTTAATTGGCTTCATTGGCATGACGTCTTAAATCAAACATGTTGCCTAAGCAAAAAGTCTTATATAGAATGGTTTGGATTAGTTGGTCTTTTGGAAGGGTAAAAAAAGTCTGTGATTTTCTAATTGAATTTGAGAAAGAAGTTTTCTCCAATTTCTTTGTATTTGGAAAACTTTCAAAACTTTTAGAATTTCAGTTTCAACTTCTCCTGTTTCACAATGGGTACAAATTATCTTTGTTCTTTCTAGCCATTCTTTTTTATGGCGCCCAGTTTCAATAGCAAGTTTATGGTCACAAAGCTTATAGCATTATACCTCTGGTGCTCCCAAAAACTAAATGACTTACCCATTCTTGTGGGTCGTTCTCACTCTGCCAGCACTCAGAACAACGACTTTGCATAAGTAAAACAAAAACTAAGTTGGTCAGAAGTCATGTGTATAGGGTGGAAAAGAAAGTGAAAGTTAGAGATTTATTTCCAACCTTTATTTAAAGTAGCCTGACACACACAGTGTGTTACATCTAGTGTCAAACATAGACTCCCTGATTCTATCATCATGAAATATATGCATGGTGAGGCAGGAGAAATGCCACTGTGTTTAAAAAGGTAATTTTGAGTAATAAAACAAGGCACTGAGGTCACACTCACTGCTCATATGGGCATTAGGGGTAAGAGTGGACAAACTGGCCCAACAAGCTGTTCAAAAAGACAATCAGAGAAAAAGGGCATTGTATGGAGGAAATGGGATCAGCAGACAAGGGAAAGACATTCACATGTAGAATGGGTATTGTGAGAAATAGGGGAGGAAATAAGAGGAGCAACAATTACTATATTAAGATTACTTTTCTTATTGCAATTCTTTCTGGTGGGATACAAATGATTGACTAGAATTAAAAATATCTTCTCTCTCTCATTTTACCAGAAATTATATTACATTTGGAATCATAATGGAGGATATGAAAACTGAATTTCTTTTATACTTTATTTATTTTAGGTAAATAGGCATTGTTATCCATAAATGTAGATGTATTAACTATTAGTGTGAGTATAACATAAATTGAATTAATTGTATTCATGTATTTAAAGGTCCATTATTACCACATGGGCACCCTGGTGGTCATAATGTTCTGCAGCCCCATACACAACAAACTGTGATGCACTTTGTGTTCTGACACCTTTCTATCAGAACCAGCATTTACTTTCTGTTCTGTGTTATTCACTTCACCAGTCAGTGGTGATAATGTTATGGCAGATGGGTGTAAGATTTAAACATATGTTTTCATTAGTGTTTAATCACCTGAATATAGTAATTATTATGTTTCTGTTACCTTAGAATGAGCTGTTTTTATCTTTAGATGCTGCAGGTCGCCTTCCTTGGAGTCCGCCATGTTGAACTACCATGTTTCTACAGTAGCCCAGAATGGACCACCCAAACACTGGCTGTCTGCCAATGTAGTTTCTCCTTTGCGTATTGGAAAGGGAGGGTGAAGCGATGGAGTTGTAATCTGCAGTTAGACTGCTAGATGCCCCTGCCAGTCCTACACACTAGACCTTTAAATGTATTCAGACAAAACCCTTATTGGTGGTTGGTATGCACTATTTCAAATCACTTTACATTAAGTATGTGGAAAAGAAAACAGCCAAAAGAAACATTGAACATTATCTATCCCTTAGAATTAGAGACCTGTTAGCTTTTTCATTCTGTTTTATTTTATTCTTTGACTTTCATTAGTTATAATCCTGTTTACGTTGTGTACTGTGTTCTTAAGAGGCTGTTGATGATGTATCACTCGCCATATATTAACTAGATTAAGAATAGGTCACAGCAATGCAACTATACGTATCAGAGAGGAAGGATGCGGTCTAACACGAGGAGCAAGATTGGGACAATCAACAATTGGGGATTTGGTCAGCTTCTCAAGGATGGCATGAGGGGAAAAATGTGACACACCGAACACACAAAGAGTGAACTACCTCCACAAGGTGGCAGTAATGCAACAAAAAGGCGCCTTAAAGCAGCAGCAGAAGAAGAAGAAGAAGAAGAAGAAGAAGCGGAACCTTCGTTTTTTGGTAGTAGTGCTTTACGGACCGCTTTTACTGAAACGTCATGATGGCAGCTGTGTTGAAAACACATGTGCAAGTATCTGGTGAGTTTTAAATACACAGTTCATTAGTGTTGGATCTGTTTGCCGCAGATTTTGAGTCTAACTGATATTAGCTAGCTAACGCTACTCCCTTCGGTCTGCTTTATGTTAAATGATCCATAGCTAGCGTAGCACTAGACCTGTCCCCGTTAGCCAGCAGAGCTAACGTACTGAATGTAAGTTGTTGCTGTAAGGTAAAAAAAAAAATAAGAAACGTAGTGTAACGTGGCGTTACTAGCTAACAAATGCCAGAGGAAGGAAAAGGAAATTGCAATAATGTAGTTGCTAATGTAGCGAATGTGTGCCCCTTGTGCTAGAACGGAAATACCAAACTTGGTTAAAAAAGTAATGAAAAACCTTCAGGCTAATTATCGAGCAGGCTTTAACCTATCTCAGTATGACATATTGGATACAGCTGTTTGATAATGTTTCCACTCTACAGAACATGTCAGACAGGTTCACACACTGACACAAGAGCTGTGTAGGTACAGAAAGAAGCCAAGGAACGAATCAAGTTTCTTCCTGTGACCAGTAAACTCCTCTTTTATCATGTTGTGCTTATATTTACTCAGATGGTTAAATGACATCAACAATGGTTGAAAACTAGAGCTGCACAATTAATCGATTTTTTTGTTGTTGATGAAGGTAAAACTGTTTAATAATGAAAAAGTACTGTAGACATGCAGAGATGCTCTTATCTAAATATCTTGTTCTCCAGATGTAAGAAAACTAAAGTTTGACATCATGATGATTTTAATAGTGTTTTTTCAATGGAAATTAAACTAAAAAATGATCGTCAATAATATCGCAATATCTGTCAAAATAATTGCAATATAATGCTCGTACCATATCGTATATTATAAATTCAGTACTTCCATTTCTGAGGAGCTCTATAAACAAATTTAAAGCTGCAGATATTTTCCCCCCGAAATTAGCAAAGTGAATTTCGAGGTAAGAAGTTATGAATTGGGCTTTAGAGTTGAAAATGCATGGCAAGGCTGATAAGGGTCCTAGTTTAGTAGTTGTAAAAGAGGTTAAGTCTGAAAGAGTGAAACATTCGGACATTTAGAGACTAGTTTTCCTGGAATTGTATTTAAATGATTTGGTCGTCCTGTAAAATTTAAATTTTAGCCTGTGCTATGGCGAAATTAATGTTACAGTGAGAGGAAAAATGTAGTCAACAGCCAAACACCTCACGAGCGCAAACTCACTCGGAGTGTACCTTTACATGCTGACCACCATTTATGAGCAAGTGCTATCGTGTATAGTCAAGAAAAACTCCTGGAAAATGTCCTGGAAAGCAAGGAACTGTTTCAGCACTAATACAAAGTGTTTCTGAATTAGCCCAAATAAAATAAATGAATAAAGACTTGTTCATTTGTGCATAAAAGGTGTGTGTGTGTATATGTATGTGTGTATGTATGTTTTTGTGTATATATATATATATATATATATGTGTGTGTATATATATGTATATGTGTATATATATATATATATGTATATGTGTATATATATATATATGTATGTTATATATGTATATATGTAGCTATAGTTAGTATGTATTATGTGGTTATATTGTGTATATGTATGTATGGTATAATAGGTTATGTATGTATTTATCTATTAGTATAGTATATAAAGACCAGCTGTTATGGCATGCCTTCAGAAATTAATCTTTGAATATATGAATGAACCTGACTGACGCCATCAAGGCACGGCTGCCATCTTGTATTTGCTGCGCAAGAAGTGAGAATGAGTCAGTCAGCTGGAACCCTTGTGGCAGCAACAATGAGCACATGAGGACCCATTAAACTCATTAGCAAGGCCTTGTACGGCAAAATCCCCGATAGCTACCCGACCCAAACCGGTTCTACTGACGAGAAGCCGAAAACATTAGTGCAATAAATTCACCGCTCTGTGCAGCTCACGTCTTAAAAGAAACTGCTTCCGGTCTAAGGTTAAACTTACACTTTAGTCTATTTCCCACAATAAACGCAGCTGGATGCCCAATACAGAAAAGGCACGTTAACAAATCAATATTAAACAACATTTTGGAACAGGCGAGTTTAGGTGTTGTTGCTTGATTTTTGGTGGGACAGAGAAGTGAGCAAAAGAAGCATTGCTCATTGTTGCTGCCCACAAGCTTCCCCAGCTGACCGACTCATCTCACCTTCTTGCACAGCAATACAAGATGGCAGCAGTTCCTTTGAGACGTCAGCAAGTTTCATTCAATATATTCAAGAATCATTCAATAATTCAATTTCCTAAACGGCATGCCATAGTCTGTATGTATGTAAATAAGTCTTTACATAATAACTTGTATTTGTGTGTGTAACTCAGGAGATGATGCAAAGCCTCAGTTTGAGGATGGAGATGACCTGAGTGATTCTGACGTAGGGAGCAACGATGAAGGGTCAAATGAAGAAGAGAGTGATGGGGGAGAAGATGACGGAGACGGCAGCAGAGGGAGCAGCGGGGAAGAAGCAGAGAATGAAGAGGGAGGAGAGGACGAGGATGGAGACGACGGTAATGCCAATGCTGGGTGGGCAGAGGCAATGGCAAAGATCCTGGGAAAGAAAACTCCTGAGAAACAAAGCAGCATCCTGGTGAAGAACAAAGAGCTGGACAAGAAAAAAGAGAAGGAAAGACAGGAGCAGCTGGAGAGAAAGAAACAGGTCGACATGTCATATTCTTTATTGGCTTGACTGTCTGTGTATCCCACATAGTCCTAATGACCTCCTCCAAAACTGGATTTACAATACCGTTCTGTACCAAAGGTCCTGGAAAATGTTAATAGTATGTTAGCATCTCACTTAGATCACCTACATAAACCTATGTGCATATTTAGTTTGAAACTCAACTGTTGGTAGGATACGCTGCACAGTGTTTTGTGGCCTCCTCTGTCTTGGCTCTCTTCAAATGAATGAGAGTGTGTTTTTATCACACAGGGTTGATGTCTGTCTCAATGTGGCCTTAATGAGCACCTTCATCGGTCCAAAATTAGAAAAGCTAAAAGAAACCAAAGCAATAAGAGGTGGTGAAAGATTTTATATTGAACATGTATAAATGTTGTACAAGCTGCATCTGGGAAGCTAACTGTGAGGATGTATTTGTGCCTCTGTCCAACAGGTTGACAAGAAGCGGACGTGGGAGATGATGTGCAGAGAGAAACCGGACTTGGTGAAGGACCGTGAGACTGAAAGAGCTCTACAAAGAATTGCTACCAGGTAGGGCTGCAACTGACAATTATTTTTATTACCCATCTGTCCATTATTTTCTAGATTCATTGTGTATAAAATGTCTGAAAAGAGGGAAAAATGTTTCTCAAAGTCCAAGGTCACATCTTCATGTTTTGTCCAAAGCCCAAAGATATTCAATTGAATATGATATGAAACAGAAAAACAGGCTGAAACTGCATTTTCTGCCATTATGACAGATATATCAGATAGATCAAAATAGTTGGCTATTATTTTCCAGCAGCCCACTAATCAATTAACTGTTGCAGCTCTACAGCCAGATGTCTAAATCATTATTTTTCCACAAGGATTTGTTCCACATTCTCAGATGCAGGTGTCAGTGCTGATTCCAGTGTGTACTTTTCCGCTCAGGGGGGTGGTACAGCTCTTTAACGCCGTGAGGAAACACCAAAAAACAATCGATGACAAGGTGAAGGAAGTCGGCGGCTCTGAGAGGAAGAAGGCCAAGCTGCTTTCGTCTGTCTCAAAGAAAGACTTCATTGACGTGCTAAGAAGGACGGAGGGAGGCAGCGGAGTCTCCGTCAAGACGGAAAAGGACGTCGTACGTTCAACAACGTCTCGTCATTGCTTCATCACAACACACTCTACATTATAGAAAACCGATAGATAGGACAGTGTTGGGTTGTAATGAACCAAAGACATCTAGGTTGAGTTAAATCCTGCCTTCTCTTCTTCCATTCATTGGGGGATGGGGGAAAAAAGCACCTGCGCTTTATTTCTAGGTTAGCTAGATGGACCACAGTGCTCTCTACCGGTTAGCTGCTGGGTGCTAATCAAAGTTACATGAGATTCAGTTGGACTGTGTCTTCAGGACATGTCTATCAAGTGAATTTACATACATATCTGGGAAAGGAGTGCTTCATTCCAAATTAAATAACTTGCTATACTATGCTATACTCTAATTACACATTTTTTCAAATGTAACTAATCTCCATTGCATGTAATCAGTTATTACCCAACACTGTTTTAACTCCTTATACATGTGATCAATTACCTTGTACATCAAACCAATGAGAGAGAAAAAACAATTAAATAATGTCAAACAGGATCAGAACTGTATCTTATAATGACTGTCTGACTGTTTCCATGAGTGCTCTCATGGTGTCACTGTTGCATCATGAAAGCATGGATAAGACATGGAGCAGAGCTAGAAGCAGTACAGAGTGTGTGGTGTATCAGGGCATCTTAAAATTCAACTATCCAAATATTAGACCCTAAAATGTCTTCCATATGATTTGAACATTTGATTGTCTCATTCCCAGGGTGTTAAATACAGACGTTTTGGGACCCTGGGAATGGGACTCCACAATCAACTATCCTCAAGCTTCCAACCCAACGCATCTTGCTATCTTTAGTGGCTCTGATTGGTTGTTTTCGTTCAGGCCTGGTGGACAAATGTCATCAGGAGCGCTAGGAGGAGCCTGATTGTTCACAGATTATCTGTCTCATGTACTACTATCAGGATATAGGGAAAGTTTCAGTGAATATGACAGAAAGTTATATAAGAATTTAAATTCCTAATGGTCTTCAGTTTAACCTGTTAAAACCTGCAGAAACCCAGGTAGTGTAACTTGTGTGTGTGTGCGTGTCTGTGTGTGTGTGTAGGCTGCTGCAGCAGCGGAGAAGCCCGCCTGGAGCGTCCTCAGAGACGACTTCATGATGGGAGCCACCATGAAAGACTGGGACAAAGACAGTGACGGAGAGGAGCCCAACACACACTCGGGAGGGAAGGCGGAGGAGAGCGATTCAGACTAGGGGACTGTGTACACACGTCTGCAATGCTTTCAGGGACAGTCTGGGAAACAAAGCCTGACCTGCAGAGTACAACTTCAGCCTCCAGGACATTCTACATGTCTGCGGTTTGAGATGAAAACATGGGGAAATGATGTAGCGCTTCTCCTCATTATCACTGTGTAGTCATTTTTATAGCATCCTACATTCTGGTATAATATATATATATTATATCTAAAATATATATTATATCTAAAATATATATTATATATATTGTGCAGAGAAGGAAAGGCTGTAAAACATGGAACTATGCGGAACAGGATGTAACCGATACTGATCCTGGAGGAGCTCCTCACTGTGCGGAGCTGCAGGTAATGAGCTCCTGTCTTCAGATCAGTTTGCTTCCATTTTGACTGCAGATATTTTATTATTGAAAGAGCTTTGATGGTGTAAACTGTGTAAATAAGAATGTTTTGTACAGCGCTAGTTGAATAAACAGCCAGTCCATTTATCTTCAGTGCTCTGTGGTCTCTCTCTCTGGAGACTGGACTTGTGTCTGGTCAGAAAACTTGAGCTCTCAGGTCCCTTCCAGTGTAGTGTTAGGTGGAGATCTCTTCATGGTCAGCAGGGAGAGGAGGAATTGTATATGGCATGTGAGTGTTGTATTAACTAATTATTCATTAATACCTAAAAAAATTCATTTCATTCAGGCCCGGTGGATTCTTGCAAATGCCATTAGGAGCATTATTTGTTTTGTGTTCTACTGTCAGGATGTAGTGAGTAAATCTCAGCAAATATGACAGGAGCTCCACAAGAGCATGCAACATACATAAATATGAGGGGTTGTAAAAGGGTTAACAGGATAGAAGAGACAAAACAAAAAAGTGTTTCTATTTTTCAGGCATTATTTTTGCTGTTTCCTTGTGAATTACATGATAATTTTACATCTTTTGGCCACTAAAATTTAAATACATTACACAACCTGTATACACATATGTATGACTGTGGTTACAAGCTGTGTTTTAAGAAGTCACAATCCAATAAGGTTGGGAACTGCTGCTATAAAGGATAAGAATGGTCTTATTCCAAATGTTTCTTCCTTATTAACAAGTCCTACAAGAAGACCAAAACCAACTATGTCAGTCCATCGCTCATAATACATTCTGACATCTTAACCATGTCTGTGTTCCTCAGCTCTGTTCCACTGGTTCATACTGAAGGTTTAAACCTTGAAAAACTTTACTTTTACATCTTTATTTTTTTAAAGCCTCTAATTTCCTAAAACAGCTGATCACTGTAGTATGTAACACACATTACTCAAAAAGGAGCAAAACAGCAATTTTGTTGGGAAGTAATTTTAGCAGCGGATTAATTAATTAAAAACAATTAGGGGCGGCTGAGGTCACTAATCGGAAGGTTGTTGGTTCGGTCCCCGGCTCCTCCCGCCACATGTCGAAGTCCTTGAGCAAGATACTGAACCCCAAGTTGTCCCTGATGCTGTGCTTCGGTGTGTGAATGTGTGTGAATGATTAGTTTCTGTTTGATGGACTTTGCCATCGCTGTGTGAATGTGGGTGAAAGGGTGAATGTGGACATGTAGTGTAAAAGCGCTTTGAGTGGTCGAAAGACTACGAAGGCGCTATACAAGTACAGGTCCATTTACCATTTATCCACATTTGGTGCTTTTGTGTATTTGTGTCAGAAGGACAAGCGGGAACATGTGTGGCTCACTGGCGCTCTATGGCACAGAGGAAGAAGAATATGATAGAATATGAAGATTTTTGAAGCTTTGATACACACATAGATATGTACATTATTGTTTAGATCTTTAATGACACGTAAAAATTATTAAATATAACCAGACTAGTCCTTTAAGCTGAATTGATTGTAAAGTGATAGTGGATGGCAGAGCACACATAAATCCGTAGGAACACTTTTCTGGGACACTGAGTTTGAGCCATTAAAGGAATAGTGTGGGGTTTCTGAAGTGGGGTTGTATGAGGTACTTATATAGTCAGTGGATTACCTACAGGAGGCCATTGGTGTGCCCCCAATTTGGAGAAACAGACGTTTAGGTAGCACTGACTATGGATAAATACTTCAAACAACCCCACTTGAAACTCGCTGAACCAGCTCTTTAAAAAGCCACATCATTGAACTCTAGAATCTGCTGTGTCTTTCTGAGCTGACCCAGGTGAGCCAGCTGTTCTGCACTGATGTCCCAGCAGCCTCCTCCTCAGGCACTGATCAGTGAGGTGTTGTGGTGCTGACACTAATGCTGACTCCTCTCCCTGACTGGTTGTACCATGGGGCTTCCTGTGTCTGGCCCTTGACGACGGCACAATCGTGGAAATATTTGCGCAGGGTGTTATCGGCAGAGAAGGGGGGTGGTGACGCGTCGGTCTGTCTGCACCACTCTGGACGCTCGTCTGTCATGACAACGCTGCGGCCTGCCACTCTGGTATGCTGCCTTTTATCCCGGCCCTGTTGACACACAGCCCGGGGATCGGGCCGCAGTGTCGCCTCATTTACCACCTCGACTCTGTCTCTCTCTGACACTTGTTTCTGCTTGCACGCAGCCACCTGCCAGCTGGCTCCATTTCAACTGCAGTGCTTTGGTGAGATATTCTGAAACCAGTGGCTGATAAATCTATTTTTACAGCTCAGGTCTTAAGGTCACATTAGCCCTCTGTTCAATGAAACGACCCTGAAAGGATTGTCAGGATACATTCCAGACTTTTTTGACTGGGGTGGCACAAGTGGGCCGCTAACTTATGCAGGGATGGCATGAAGTTTGTGTCTCAGCTTTCCATTCATTCCCAATTTATGGGAAACTTTAAAACTGAAAGGATAAGGATAATTAGGTGGCACATGAGATTTCAAGGATGGCCAGTGCCAACCCAGGGCCCACCTTCTGGACATGCCCATGGATACACTGCAGAGAACTTCTCAGTTTCTAAACACTGCATCAACTACTGGTCGACTCTGTGAATCTGCCTGTCGAAGCTGAACAAAGGTGACCTCTCACCTGCAAGAAAAATTCATTTAGGAGCACTGCTTAGACCCAAAGGTGGCAGCGTCATGTTTTACGGATGATTGCTGCAAATTGCAGATCTTCTTACGAGTTCTACTCAGCTCCTGCATGGGTCACAGGTCTTAGTTCTGATGAAAGAAATTTGAAAATATGTGCAAATAATCAAATTGCAGCTTCCGTGCCAAAAATTTGCCTTGTTTATGGGTTCTGGTTTCAGGGGCCTCAGAGCTCGCATTACCAGGTTCTCCCAAGCTGTTACCCATAGGAACCTGGCTACCCGGTGAACTCCACTGAAGACTCTCTTTGCACCATTGCCATATTTAAATACTATTTGCACAGATACAGCTCTCTCATGCACTCCACATACATAACCTCATTGATTCAAATTGTACATATGTTGTTATCTTTGTCTTTATCTGTATTTATCTGTATTTATCTGTACTTTATGTCATACAGGTACATAACCTGTATCATCCCCTTTTCTTTATCTTTTGACTGTTTTGGTGAAGCAGCAACCACACATTGTTAAATAACATTTAAGTTAAATTGAATAGGGGCCCATGGCTCATTTTCCCCTGGGATCCCAACCAGGGTAATCCGGCCTTGGTACAATGTTATCATGCCTGATAGGAATAATGGCTAAAGCTATAAAAATAAAACTTAACACCTCCTGAAAGCCCTGGCTCACCTTCAGTAGTGTAACTCCTCAACTTGCTGCAGTGATGTGCTGAGTTACTGTTTGTGTGGACTGACTTGGAAATGTTGACAGTGTGCAGGAGTAGATTTAGGTTTTAAACAGTTATTAATTGAATTTTTCTGTCCTAGTACTCAACGGTATATTTATATTAGATCTATTTATTTATTTTTTTCAGAATCGTAATCAGAATCAGATGTATTGCCAGGTAGGTTTTTACACATACGAGGAATTCGTCTTGGTGCAGTGGTGCATAAAATATACAATCA